GAAGACCTGAAACAGAGATTGATTGCTGTTTTCGACGAATTCACGATGAAGAAGAAAACCCACATACTTCTAGCCTACAACTACGAGTATGTGTTCTCGGCTTTTAATTTTATGCTTCTTTTTTCGTTAAGATTATTCGATAATTAAGATTCTGTGATTGTAGCAACCATTTCGTCTTGATTTGTGTCAATCTTGTTAAAAATCTGATCGAGGTGTGGGGCTCGAAGAAAAAACCATTTGATCATCTGGATGCACTGGTGGCAGTGCTGAATTAGTAAGCGATCCTAATAACATATTATTTTCTAACCACACATACCGCTTTCTAATGTTTCTCCCTTTAATGTTACTTAGTGTCCGAAGAACACATATCGGTGGGACGCCGGTCCCATTCAAGGTTGTCGAAATGGAGGGGAAGTACCTGTCATAGCCGGCGGGAAACAATGAATGCGGGTTTTATGTAATGTGGGCAATGCTTCGCTACATCGGCGGGAAATCGGAAGAAGCCGATAAGTTGGTGTGTATAATTTTCATTTTATTTATGTCTGTTAATAATTCAACAAAATGATTTAATGTTCCTCTTTGGATATCATCTTTTTTGAACGACGACGCAAGAAATATAACCACCAAAGGCTGTTAGACACGGAGATCATCGCACTGCAATCGGAGCTCGCAAAATTCATCTTAGCCGAGGTATTGAAAAAAGATGGAATATTTTCCATTGCACAATTCGTGAGGTACAAGGACCAGTATGGCTCAGAGCGGCTCCTAAGATTATTGTAAGAAGTCCGAGAAGCATATGTGAAGTCCAAGAACATTTCTTTTTTATTTTGAGGGATCGAGATGTGGATAAAAACATTTGTGTAATCGTAATATTTGTAATGTTTAATATTGATGGACCTGTCGTCTACGTAGCGTATATAAAGCGAAACCTGATTCCACGAAAAAATATAAATTAAAATAAATTATAAAACAATAAAATACGAACGGGCCATCACCGCCGGTTAGCAACAAACCGGCAATGTTGTCGTAACCATCACTGCCGGTTAGAAGCAAACCGACAGTGTTGGCTTGCTCAACACTGCCGGCTTGAACCATGAACCGACACTGATAGTTACGACAACACTGCCGGTTTGATCCATAAACCGACACTGATATTTACTATAATACTACCGGTTTGATCCATGAACCGACAGTGTAGGCTTGCTCAACACTGCTGGCTTGAGCCAAGAACCGACACTCTTGAAGCAACCATCACTGTCGGTTGGCACTACAAACCGGCAGTGTTGTTCAACTGGACACTGTCGGGTGGAGCCAGACATAGTTTCCTGTAGATCAGTATCGGTTTTTAAGGACCGACAATGATTCCAACCCCCATCACTGCCGGTATGCCACTATCGGTTCAAAATCTGACAATAAAGTGGGTTTTTGAACTGATATAGTGATGTCCAGATCTGTATGGTAGTGCAGTGGGAAACCTTATTCTCGAACCACTGGCTGGTGGCAGCAATCTGATCAGAATTTGTCTATTCATGTTGGTAATAGCTCTACGCGCTTGCCACGCGTGCCCAGGCTGTCAGAAATCGCAAGTTCATTAGCTCGTGCAATAAGGATTGCCCGGACTATGTGGCACTAAACAAATACGAGGGATTAATCTGCCGCCGCGCTGTTTAGGCCAGACTTGGATTTTGGGCCGGCATGCAACAATTCTTCTGGCCCAGTTTACCTGAGCCTGTTGCTATGTTCATCCCGTCGCCGAGGCTGCGGTAGGACATGCGTCCACCCGCACGACTTCTCCGAGATATCCCATGGAGTCGGAGCGCTCTCCTCCATGGTCGCCAGCTTCTCGTGCGCCGACCTTGAAATCGTTGACGACAGATCGTCGTTCACCAGCCTCTGCGTGCTGCGCTGCGCTTGAACGCCTCGGCCCTGCACCACACATGAGTAGATCATCGATGATACTTCATGGCAGTGGCACCGTGGCGGGCAAAGCTACCTAGCTTTGAAACCAACCACTACTACGCATGATCTTTTACGCAGCGTTTCCAGATAGGGCTTCGAGGTGGACGGCCTGGTTGCCCTCCTCGGTTATTTGAGACAGGGCAACAGGGCTAGCAATCGCCTCGGTTAATACTTAACCGAGACGGGCAATGTAACGAAACCGTCTCGGTTAAGACCACGATTAACCGTGTTCTTTGGACCGAGGCGGTTGGCTTCCTCGCCTCGGTTACGCCCTTTTGCCCGCCTTGGTAAAATTTTGTGCAGTAGTGCAATCAAAGGCGCCTAAATTTGTCCGGTGAATACCTGTGTGTTGCTTTGCTGCGGAAATTTTAAGCTTAAGTTAGATTGATTTTGCACCTTTTCTAAAGGTCTGAAAATTTGAGTTACATCGGACGACATGCTGGCCATGTGCCACAGTCACATTGTATTTGTCCTCTTGTAATTTGTTTATAATATTAATTGTCTTTGTGTTATTATATATTAAATTTTTGGTCTTTGTTTGACTATAGAAAAAATATAACTTTTTAATTGTTTTTATACCAACATATTAGATTTTGTTAGGTTTATAGTTGTCTATGGAGTTCTTTTTTCTCGGATCCAAAAAGTTATAGATTATGCCTATAAAAATTACAACAGAAACTATCAAAAATCGACGTTTACACCCTTTGGCGACAAAATCCTAACTTTAGACTCTAGGAGTCGGCGCCGTAGATCACGGCGCCAAGCGTCGTGGTATGGGATTGCGTGGTTGTTGGCGTGGCAGTGACGTGGCTGTGGCGCCACCACCTCGGCGCCATATATCTTAGTAGAAATATTTTCAATATATTATTAGTAGCAGCATTTCGTTGCATTAGAAAAGGAAAATTGCCTCACAATGAAAAGGAAAATAGAATTATTCAAACCTTTTTCCCTTTCCTTAGGCCACGTAAGGACAAGTTGGGCCTGTTCTGTCTCTCTCTCCAGCTTAGTTTCTAAACTTAACCAACCAATGGCAGGCCAGTTGGCCCGTGGGCCAATATGCCACTGTGCAATGGTTGGCTTGGTCGCGGCGTTCTCAAGCCGCTATCCTGGCTAACGGACCTGGGCCGCAAATGGCCGCCAGACCCAGACCAACTAGCTGGCGCAGCTGCTGCTGGGCCATGCCAGCCCAGCTGGCATCTGACAGTTAGGCCCAAGTGGACCAAGCGTGCACGCCGGGGTAGGCAACGAATTATACAAGTTATTTAGTAGTACTATTTTTTTTTTTGAGGAATCTGTATTTAGTACCACATTGTCCGTGAAACTCAAAGCGGACCGGCTGATAAACTATTACCTTCATCCGTGTCTCAGCGCGTGGTAAATGCGGGCAGCAACACTCATACAAACAATACGCGGATGATGATTAACACACTACAAGCTATGTATAGCTATTTCATTTTGCTGCCAATAATTATACCCAGGGAGTAGTTATGCAAGTATATTTAGATTATATTTTAGAGTATATGGTTATACTTATTTTATATACTACTGTCATAGTATTAAATAATATATTAAAAAACATGGGTTTTTTTGAAAAAATTTCACATAGTAAAGATATAGAGTATCTTAATATGAGTATATCAACATACTCAAACTGATAAATGAGTATGTACACCTTATATAAGGAAATTATTTCATATATATATATATATATTAAATTAAACTAGAAGTTTCTAATTATATATATTAAATTAAACTAGAAGTTTCATAATTGTGAAAGTACATATATATTTTGAAAAGGCCTGTGTTATTGGTCTTTGTGAAATTTTAGGTATTTGATAACAAAATTGAAAAGGAATCTATTTCTATTATGTATAGATAGAGATAGAACTAATACCCTATAGCGAAATAACTTATTTTTTAGCCGGACCAAAACTCAGGGAGCCTCATCGTCACCAGCAGACCATGGTCACCCAAACCCCGTCCATTCATCCACCGCAGGTCACGCTCATGGCTTTTTTGGGCTCGGTGGTCCCCTTCGGACTATGCATGCATGCATTGATTAATTCGATGCCCTGATTTTTACTCGTAGCTTGTTTGGTAGGGCTTCACTTTACTAGTGAAGTCATTTTTTTTTGCTTCAGCTCCACGAACATTTTAATCGGTGGAGCTAAAACGGTTTTGGTAAACCGTTTGACAAAATGGCTTTCCTGTGAGAGCATGTTTTTAGGGGCTAGAGGAGAAGCCGGGAGAAGCCACTTTTTTTTAGCTCCATCCCACCCCAAATCATTGTGAGATCATGTTTTTAAGGGCTTCACTAGTGAAGCTATTTCACTTTACCCCGTTTAGCAAAATAAACAGCTCCAAATAGCTCCTGAAGCTGGTGAAAAAGCTCTACCAAACGAGACCCTAATCCTGCCACAGGCCATAGGCCATAAAAAATATTTCATATTGTCATTTTTCTTGCCAATCGATCTTTGGAGGTGGCGACTCTCTCCCTACGGACGGCACCCACAGGGGCAACGATGCCCGCGCGGACAGCACCCCCGGCAGCGGCGGCCTCCTCGTCGCCACTCCCTACGCCTCCCTGTCGCGACGATGGCGGCGTCGCGCTCGCCCTCCCGGCTCATGTGGCGGCGGCGGCTATCCAGCACGGCACCACCGCTCCTTCCCCCGATGCCGCTCCCTGCCTGCGAACCACCGTCGACGTCGGCTCCATGCTCCATCGCGCAACGCGGCCCTAGGCGGCGGCGGTGTGACCTTCCACCGTGCGACCCCATCTCGCATAGATGGTGGCCCCTGCGGCGGCGCAGCTCGCCGCCCCGCTCGCACGGCACTCCCCGACGGAGACGCAGCCGGTCTCGCTCGGATGGCGGCCCCGGCGACGGAGCTGCAAGCCTCGCACGGAGCTGCAGAAGAAGGTCAGCTACACGGACATGAAGGCCATGGTATTCCTGGTGGCCGCCACCGCCGTGGGCGCCGGGTACAACCTGCTGCAGGCGGCGCGCTGTTGCGTCGCCCTGGCCATGTCCGGCGGAGGCGACATGGTGCCGGGCCAGGCGCTGGCGTACGTGCTGCTGGCCGCCGTCGCCGCCGCCGCCGCGCTGCAGGCCTCCGTCGTCACCAAGCACGGCCAGCCCGAGCTGCAGTGGATGGGGATCAGCGCCCTCTACGCGCTGTTGCGTTGCCCTGGCGGCGCCTTCTGTAGGCAGGCCGGCGCCGGCGTCGCTAGCGCCGTCGCGGCCGGGCTCGCCGCCGCCCTGCTCGCCTTCCTCTCCGCCTTCAACCTCTTCAGGCTGTACGGTAGCAAGAGCTAATATTGTTTAGTCACCATGGATTACAGTAATTCATTTAAAAATTTATCGTAAATCAGATACAATAGACATAGATTCTAGTAATTCATTTACAAATATTCATGGTACAAAGTTCTTGTAAATATTCTTTGTGCAAGTTCTCATAAATTTCATAGTACGAGATATTCATAAGATAAAATTCTCGTAAATATGTACAGTATAAAATTCTCGTAAATATGTACAGTATAAAATTCTCGTAACTCTATCCTAGTTACCATCTCAAGCAACTAATATTCCAGTAGCTATTTTAGTAAATTCGTCTTACGCTTTACTATTATTTTATATCTACGTAGAGAGTAACTCTATCCTAGTGACACGTTCATCACTTGCATGCACGTGTGTTCTCGTAACCACTCAATCCAGTAGCTTTCATGCACTGATGCACACAGTCGACAACACAAAATTACTGTCGCCTACAGCAATGGACGTGGACAAGGACAGCCAAGTTACGACACTTTTTAGATGCGTCTCCTGCAGAACTGGAAACCTCCAGATATGTCAATTATTTAAACAATTAATGTAATTACCGGCAGCGCGGATTGGGGGCCCTGATTAATTACCGTACAGGAAGGTTCCTAAATGCGATGCGCGCAGTAAATGACAGGTTCCCCTGCATGCATTCGATCAGGTGGTGCGGTCGGTTTGGCCTGGCTACATAATAAGGTAGTCTGCAGTTGGCTACAGAGTATATATTTGGTCCGGTCCTTCCCTGACTAATTCTAAATGATTTAAATAAGAATTCTAATATAAATAGACTTCTGTTTGATATTATCAAATATGCATGGCTTTTTGTCGAGAGTAGCTCGAATAGGAATCCAAATCTAAATAGAAAAGTATAAAAATAGAAATTGGACAAATAGTCCTGAGTAACTTGAACAGGAATCTAAATCCAAATCTAAATAGAAAAGGATAAAAATGGAAATTGAGCAAATATAAATATAAATTAAGCGAAGCTATTTTTTTATTATATCTCCACCATGAGACATGAGTGATCTTGGTCATTGTCCGTCCACCCCGCTTTTGTCTTCTCAGTTTTATTTGCGGCCCGTTTCACGTCCGTTTCGATCAATTTATTTGCTTTCCAAAAAAAACGTGCACAAGAAAACTAGTGGGTTTCATTCTAACCTACAACTAACGCGAGTTCATATGGTCGTCATACAGTCGTCCTAGAGAACAGGTTCAAGTGGCCTGGTGTACATCCGCATGCACCATCGTGATCCAAACAAACTCAACGTCAAAGTTAATTATATATTATATATGGGTTAAATTAAATTAATGGCATGTCCATCTTACTACAATCCATTTAATTTAGAACACGCGGCCATGTTTCCATCTATCCCAAAATAAATTAATCAATATTTATATATTTATATTATCTAAATATATATTGGTACGTCACTCTCTCACATGTCTGTATAAGTTATAGCAGCACATGTGAGTGTTTGGATTGGGGTCGGACTGGGATAACCCGGGTTAGACCCGATGGCCTACTGTTTGGTTTGTGGATTGGGTGAAACTGGGTCCAACCTAGTAGGGAACATGTTGCTAGATGCGGGTTGGCCTCATATCTCTGAATCGAGGGGATCGCTCCCACCCAGTTGGATGTCGTCACTCTCCGTTCCATAGCCATGGGCCTCGCGGCCTCGCAGGACAGCGCGGTGGGGCTGGTGCGGGCCGCTGGCGCGGTGTAGGGGCCTACGCGGGGCAAAGCTGGCTGCCGGGGGAGGCGCCATGGCCGCTGAAGTAGGGCTTGGAGGTGGTGGCCGCCGAAGCAGGGCTGGGAGGCGGTGGCCGCCGTGGCCAGCGCGGGGTGGCACGACGGGGCCCGCGTGGGGCGACGCTGGCTGCGGGGGTGAGGCGCCATGGCTACCGAGGTGGGCTGGGCCGGAGCAGGGCAGGGAGGCAGTGGCCGCCAGTGCTTGCGCGGGACGGGGCTGGGCGGAGAGACGGGGGCCAGCGCAGGGCGGGGCTGGTCGAGAAGGACGGCGGTGACCCTCAGGGTGGGGGCGGGTGAAAGCTCTAGTTTGATTTTGGATAATTAATGAAACCTAGCACTAACATTTGTCATGAGTTGTGATATAAGCTAGGTTGGTGCAATCTAAGTGTGGAGCATGGTAATGAAGTCCATCGAGATGGAGACCGACATATGTTGAAGATGATAAGCTCAACTTGGAAAAGAAGAAAGAGAAAAACAAAAACCGAGAAGATCAAGGCAAAGGTATAAGATTGATTTTTGTTTTGCACTCAAGACACCATAGAGGATGTGAGTGACTTAGGATCGATAGCCATACTATAAAGAGGGGAAATCTTTAGCTAAACGGTTTATCGAGTGCCACTAGGTGACATGATTCTTGAATATGCATTTTGGAACCTAGCGTGCTAACTTTGACCCTTGTAAAATGCTTTGAAAAATACTAACACACGTGCATACAAGTTCTACACTTTGTGGTTAGCAATATATAAGCAAGGGTGAAGTGGTTGTGGACTTAGAAAAAAGAAAAAGAGAAGATGGTCCACGACTGAACGCTGGCCGCGGGGTGACCGGACTCACCCTGGCGCGTCCGGTCAATTATAGGTGACGGCGCCGCTCTAGCCGAGAGCAAGTTGGAAGGACTGGACGCTGGCTCGGGACCGATCGACGCGTCTGGTCACAAGTTGAAAGGCGGCAAGATCACATGATCGGACGCGCAGGAGGAGCGTTAGGGGATCGCTGATGTATGCTGACGTCAGCATTGCCTTCGCACGGAGAGAAGAGGAGCCTAGACCGGACACTAGGGCACGTCAGGTCACGCTTGACCTGACGCATCCGGTCACGCTTGACCTAATGCGTCCGGTCACTGTTTTCGCGCTAAGAAACGTCTCTGGAATCGATCTGACTCTGAAGGGTTGAGCGTCAGATGGCGCTAGCTGTGCGTCCGGTCACCACTTGACCAGCGTGCATTGGCGGCCAATGGTCAAATTTGAATCGCGTGACGTGGCGAGCGTTGAGTGGTTTGGGGGTGCGACCGGTCGCCAGACCAGCGCGTCCGGTCAACGTGATCGGCGCGTCCGGTCATCTCACAGAAAACCCCTCCTTGACTCTAACGACTCCATTCATTTGGGGACATATGTAAATAGTGTTTGGCCAGCTCCAAGGCATCTCTCTTGGCCCTTTGACATTCCTAACATCCTTGTGAGCCTCCCAGCCATTCTTTGATGGCACATGCTTTGATTATTGGAAAAGAAAGATGAAGATGTATCTTGGTTCAATCAATGATCAAGTGTGGGATGTGACCGAGAGTGACTATGCTATCATTGATCCCAACAATCTCATAAACCAAGACAAGACCAACAAGCAAAGTAATACAATGGCTCTCAACACCATCTACAATGCCATTGATTCTAAGGTGTTTGAGCAAATCAAGGATTGTGATAGAGCTAATGAGGTGTGGAAGAGATTGGAGGAAACATATGAGGGCACACCAGTAGTGAAGAGTGCCAAGTTGTACATTCTCAAAGACAAGTTGACAAGCTTCAAGATGAAGGATGATGAGAGCATTCCGGAGATGTTCCATCGTTTGCAAGTGATTGTTAATAATTTGAAGGCATTGGGAGAGAAGATCAATGATGATGATGTCTCTCATCGGTTCTTGATGTGTCTACCTCTAAGATTTGAGATGTTGAGATTGCTCATCATAAGAGGAGGATGGAAGGAGATCACCCCTAAGTACTAGATGATGTCATAACACAAGAGACATACCATGTGGAAAGGGAGGGGGTTGACAAGGATAACAAGAAGGAAGATGAAGACAAGAAGAAGAAGAGTGTAGCATTCAAGGCTAGCTCATCATCCAAGAACAAGGGCAAGTCCAAGAAAGAATCAAGTGATGATGAAGATCTTAGTAACATTAATGATGAAGCTATGGCTCTATTCGTGCGCAAGATGGGAAAATTCATGAAGAAGAAGGGCTATGGTGCAAGAAAGAGAAGAGATCACACCAAGAGCAAAGAATATATGAGAACATGCTATAATTGCAAGAGCCCCGATCACGTTGTAGTGGATTGTCCCTACAATAGTGACAATGATGAGGATGATAAGAAGAAGCACAAGAAGGACAAGAAGGAAAAGAAGAAGAAGGAGAAGAAGATGACCTTACAAAAGAAGAAGAAGGGTGGAGGTTATGTGGTCACTTGGGATAGTGATGGCTCTTAGGATGGCTCTAGTGATGATGACAAGAAATCCATTAAGAAAGCACTAGCAAGCATTGCCATCAATAACAAGCCCTCTATCTTCGACACTCCATCGACATGCCTCATGGCAAAGCCTACCAAGATAAAATATGATATGAGTGATGAAGATGACTGTGAAAGAGATGCTTGTAGGAGTGATGATGATGATGAGGAGGAGTACACCAAAGAGGAGCTCATGGGCATGTGTGAGCAAGTGCACACTTGCTTTGAGATGAAGAAAAAGGAGTGCAAAGAATTGCGCAAGAAAGTCAAATTTCTTGAGCAATCCTTTGATGAGCTCGATGGAACTCATGAGAGGCTAATGGAAACCCATGAGAAGCTTGGCAAAGCTCACTCTAAGCTTGAAAAGGCTCACTCCTCTCTCATCGAGCAAGTCAAGAAGGAGGAAGCCAAGAAGGATCAAGTGATTATGTCTTGTGATATGGGACTAACTTGTAATATTATTGATGAATCTTTTTATAAGCCCATTGTTATTGCTCCAACTAACCTTTCTTGTAGCACTACTACTTCTACTTCACCTTTGAGTGATGGTTTCACTTATGATGCCTCACTAATGGTGAAAAATGAGACCCTCAAGAAGGAGGTAAATGAGCTTACTCGTACCTTAGGCAATGCCTATGGTGGAGATGCTCACTTGCTAAAGTGCTTGGGTAGCCAAAGATTTTCTCTCAATAAAGAGAGATCAGGATATACCCCCAAGAAAGATAAGGCAACCTTTGTCACTCCCAAAGCAA